AGACGTGCAGCATCAACTACCATAGAGTTAATCGTATGTAACGTCGCGCGCAAATATCTCAGAATAGGAATTACTAATTTTCGAGCAACGATTGTATAACAGTTTTTTATGTTAACACACACACACACACGCACATATATATATATATATATATATATATATATATATATATATATATATATTCTAATTCACAGACATACTGTTTCGCTGCTTTACAGCATATCAGTGTCGCTTGACAATCGATTGCGTCAAGCCGGGATCGAAACGCGACTGATTTCGTATCAGCCGTTGACTCTAACTAAGACATTGGCGCACGGCTGAGATGAAGGTGAATTTAGATGTATTTATTTTTAGATAAACACGCCAGTGTCTGAGAGAATTCGATTGGTCTCAACGAAAGAGTCTTGCATCAGCAGCAGTAATAGTCACTGTTTACAAATTCACTTTACTCTCCAAGAGCGCAACCGAAATAATTTTTTCAGGAGCATGCATATCTTTTGTCATCCACAGACTGTTTCGCTGTTTTACAGCTCATCAGTGTGGCTAGACATCCGATGCCTCAAGCTGGAAAATATATATATATATATATATATATATATATATATATATATATATATATATATATATATATACCAGAAATTGCAAACAACTTGCACAAATTGGTGCAATACCGACTATCAACTAACTTTAGCAAGAAAAATATTTTTGGCGAAATATAAACCTACATTTATAGATGTACGAGAAAAAAATAAACACAAATTAAGCCAGAAAGCGTAAACATTAGTAAGAATGCGAACAATATATATAAGAATAGAAAACGCAACATAATTTGGTTTAACCCATCATTTAACAAAAATGTCAAAACCAATAAAGATAAAAATTTCCTTAATTTAATCCACAAACTTTTCAGCTATATATCATTGCTCAACAAAATCTTCAAGAACAACAACATTAAAGTAAGCTACAGCTGCACCAAAAACCTCGAACTTTATAAAGAACACCATAATAATATAACATTAAATTAATATTTAAACAACCTCAATAGGAATATTAATGCAGACAAAAAGTGTCGAAAAACAGTACCCGTTCACTAAACTATAAATGCATGAATAAAAACGTAATTCATAAGGCTAGCATTAAACATAAAGACGAGACTAAGTTTTATTTTGGTTCCACGCGAACCCACTAGCAAACCCGATATTACTATTATAAAATGACTCTTACCAATAAATAATATTCAAATGCCACGGAACTATCAATATTTTACTGGGAATTCAAAACAAATAACTACACCCCGATAGTAAATTGGAAATTCTTTACCAAATCTACACACTTTTCCGGTCACGGTGACCGATGTAACCTGTGTTTGCTGTAAAAATATATTCATACTCAAAAAGATTTCAATTCCCGTAATTGCATAAGAACTTGGGGAACCATAAAAATTAAAGTTGCACTACAAACATAGGCATATGTGTATTTATTAACAATACTACATAGCTCTGTTTAGCTACATTGAGCACATTTGTTTGCACCATAAATTAAATTAAATATATATTTGTTTATCTGCGTATGCACGCTACCGCATATATAGTTGCTAAAATCCCGTTATTTAGTTTATAGTCACACTTCCATCTGTCAAGCTATCTATCTATCTATCTATCTATCTATCTATCTATCTATGTACATATATATATATATATATATATATATATATATATATATATATATATATTTGGTTTGATAGATGTGATTTTGTGACCTGGGTTTCACGCTTTAGCGATCGTCAGACAAACTGATTAATGTTTTAAAAAAATTGGGTTTATGTAGATTGCGCAATCTACATAAACCCAAATTATTTAAAACATTAATCAGTTTGTCTGACGATCGCTAAAGCGTGAAACCCAGGTCACAAACTCACATCTATCCAACCAAATATGTTAGCTCTATCTCTGATATTGAGCGCTTTCTAATAAGTACGCGCATATAATATATAAATAATTATACATATATATACATTTATTTATATTTATATTCACTTTTCACACACATATATATATATATATATATATATATATATATATATATATATATATATATATATATTTAGCTTTTTATTCATTTTCCTTTGTCTTCGTGTAAGTGTAGAAAAAACAACTTCTATAACCTTACCCACATGTATAAAATGGCAAAAATAATGGAAGCCCTTACAGTAAAAGAAAGGACAAAGACATAATATTGTCAACTATGAAAACGGCTATAATATGACGGCCGTGTTGGGAAAATTAAAAAAATGAATGGCTAGTAACATATACAAAATCTGCACATTCAGTTAAAAGTATCATCAATACTGGCTAATAGAACTTCCTAAACCTCTCTACACACTTTACACACTCTCTCTCTCTCTCTCTCTCACACACACACACACAGAGGCACACAGAAACATACACACACGCACACACACACACACACACACACATTTCGGGTCATAAATATTCTATGTTTCGGGAGTGAAAGAAATTATTTATTCCATCATCAGCCAGTTGAGGAAAATGATTTAATTAAATTAAATCCTTTTGATCAAAAGTTCCGGAACATTGCCTGATGACAGGATAAAAGAAAATGAGTCGGGAAACAGAAATTTCCGTTTCGTAATATAAAATATTTTAAAATAAATATATATATATATATATATATATATATATATATATATATATATATATTGTAAAGAACAAATAGGAAAATTTGTAAATGTAACCCATTGTTCGCAACCGCAGGAGCCAGATATTCAACTCACAACTCTTTGTATCAAGTCACTGGATACAACCAACGCTTTTATCCACTGGAGATTTGATTTTAACGGAAATAACTGAGAACTCCAGAAGAGGCAAGCGCGTGGAGCTGAAGAAACCCGGAGTGTACAATGCCCGAAACTTCTTGAATAGGGCAAGAAAGATTTGGACAACTCTAACCCTAACCCTAAAACAGTCCTAGCAATGTAAACATTGTAAATTATTACAATTTCTCATCTCAGATATACAGACAGAATATAAATGAACTAACGTCTCTACTTATAAAAGTCCGTATCTGGAAACACAAGAGAGACCTACATTGATATAACCATTTAAAATCATTTGTAATACGCTAGAACAAAGCTCGCAATAATATTGGCTTTTATAAGTGCCACCTGATTTAAAAAAATATATATATATTTTAAAATACGTCGAGGGAGTCCGGATAGTTATTACCAACTGTAAACATACGTCGAAAGCACTATATTACATCACGAAACATTATTAAATCCATTCTTAATGTTGAGGTAAAAAATTTCCGAAATCGACATGCGAACAACCTCCCAGCATAAGTAATGGTTACTAGAAATATACACACACATACATATACACGCATGCATATATGCATAATCATCCAAATACCTCATAGACAAACTGGATTTTTACACATATAAATCATAGCTGTGAGCACTACTTCAGTAGTCAAACGTCTGCTAAGACAGTGAAAATAAACCAGGACAAAATTAACATACCGATATATTTTTCTACATATCTCATTCTGATGAATGTTTAATCGAAATCGAAACATGTTAGATATATAAACGCTTCCTATTTATTTTTATCATTTTATTCTGTTGAATTTCGACCCATATTATATCTGATTTTGTGCACACAACCACACATACACACTCACACGCGCGTACACACACAGATAAATATATATATATATATATATATATATATATATATATATATATACACCCTTGTGCAAATTTATTGTAACAAAAAGAATAATTCCGTTACTATTTACTTTCTTTTCGTATTTTAGATTGACCACAGATTCTCGATTGGATTTAAATCGGGAGAGTTTCCGCGCAATTTGATAGAACATTGATTTGTTCACTAATAATGTTCCGAGTGCGTTCGTGGGGCGATTACAATTTTTGTATGCTTCCTTGGAGTAACGACCAGCGCACACAGTACCGTAGAACAACTAATCGACAGTCGAGACAATAGTTTTGGGGCGTGATTTAATGACGAATGACGCAATATTTTAATGGACAAACAAATTTAAGCATACACCCCGAAAATAGATTCATATTACTGCATATCACTGCAAATGATCTAATCTGAGAAAAAAATAGAAATCGATTACTCCCTGTCACTCCAGTGGGTATAAAACTGACGGCATGGAGAAAGAAAGGCAACTGATGCAGTTTGTTCAATGAATTTGCACAAGGGGATACATACATATATATATATATATATATATATATATATATATATATATGTTTGTGTGTGTGTTTGTAGATGGTGTCTGTATGCTTAATATATCTATATATAAAATTGTTTTATTTTTCTTTAATTGAGTCATCTATCGGTAATTGAACATATAGTTCGCTGATATTTATAGTTTTTTACATTAAAAATGAACATACAAGTTTAACAGTGATACATAAAAAATGCAGTACCTCGTCAGCTATCGACTCTCGCAAAACAAAAGACAGGAAATAATTAAACAGTTCCTTTTGTCATGAAATGATTGAAAGCTGGAATAGCGTCGGAGAAGCGAAAGAGCAGAGAGGATGAATGAAAAATTGAAAAATGAGAAGAAGAAATGGAGGAAAGCCATGGAGGTGCATATTGATTTAGACAGGTTGACAACGAAGAAATAGTCTCATCTCTTTCGTAAATGTCTTAATACATTTATTGGTCTCGGTCGAATATTTGCTTTCAGGCCACAAAGTAGCATTAGGACTAATCCGACTGTTCACCGCCGTCAACTTCAACAAGGAAGCACACTATCTAATCACCGAAGATTACCAGAAATGGGCGTTTACGCATGCGTGATCTGAATGCTGTAATGGACTTATTCCGCCTCTACTTTAACTCCTCATCCATGCGTCGACTTGCAGCTCAGGTAACAGCTTAAGATACACAGTCGATTGTATACAGTTCTACGCCAAAAGCTGATTTCCTGAAACAAAACACATGTGCCTATTCTGCTGTTTTTCTTATTTTCTTATTATTATTTACTTTTTCCTCTATTATATTTTATTTTTCGTCTTAATTTTCTTTTTCTATTTATCTGCGTTTTGTCTACTTTTTACTTTTCTTCTTTTCTTCTATTTTATTTCTTCTTTTCTTCTCCTGCATTTTTCATGTTTTTTTTCTTTCTTCTTTTTACTATTATTTATTATTCTGTTTTCTTCCTTTTTCCTTCCTTTATTTTATGTTTCTTTTCTTCTTCTATTTTCTATTTTACATCTTTTTTTTTCTATTTCATTTTTTCCATTTCGCTTATTCTTTTCTTATTCTTACACTGTACTTTTTATTTTGGCTTCTATTTTCTATTTCATCTTTTATTTTTCCTCTACTTTCCTTGATTTATTTTTCTATTTTTCTTATTTTCTTCATATCATTTACGTTTTCTTTCCCACTCATTATTCTTTTTCTGCTATATTCATCTTCTCTTCCTTTTTCTTTATTTCCGGCTTCCATTTTCTTCTTCGTCTCCTATTTTACTTAGTCTTTTCTTGTTATTTATATTTTTCATTTTCTCCGATTTTCTTCTAATTTTCGTCTTATTATATAGTTTCATATTTTCTTTTCCTTCTTTTTACATTTCTAATATTTTAATTCTCCTGTTCTTCTTCTTGTACTTCTCTTCTATTTTTTTCTTCTTATTTAATTTTCTTCTTTTATTCCGTTTTCTTCTATTATTTGTATTATTTTCAGTTTTTATTCTCTTCTTACTCTTCTATTATACTTATATTTGTGTTCCTTTTCTTCTTATTTTAATCTTATAGTGTCTTCGATCTTTCGTCTTCTTCTATATTTTCTTTTTCTATTTATCTTCTTGCTCTTCTTCTATTTTACTTCTTTGTTACTTGTTCTTGTTTTCTGCTATTTATCTTCTTTTTTATTTTTATAGTCGCTTATCAGCCATTTTGTTGGTGGAATTGCAATTGCAAATTTTATTAATGCTTTCATTTGTTGCATATCTATATTTTGTGCAGTAATATAAAACATTGCAGCTAAAAAAAAATAATTCTAATAAAAATAGGGCGTTCTCTTTTATTAACTTCCTTTTTAATCATTTCGCACCAAGAAGGCAATAAATGCAAGGAATTAGTGAGTGATAGAGAATTTGATAATTTTTTATATTAAGAGTAGATGATAATAAAAGAAAGGGAATTAAGAAAGCTGAAGATAATGATTGACTTTGCATTTAGATATTTTAACTTCAAAGTTGAATGGGAATCAAGAAGGTGGAAGAGTGTTCCACAAGCGAGAAGTGCGGGAGAAGAAACTGTTATCATAGAACTTTCGAATACAACTGTAAAATGATGAAAACTTGCGGCCAAACTTATACTGCACTTAAATTTATAAAGTCTAGGTAGCATGGAGTAAATTTCATTATAACAATCGAAGTATTTATAAAAAAATAAAAAAGCACAGGCAAGATACATTACAGTGATTGGAAAGTAACAGAATCCATGATGCTATGTCAAGACCAATAAGATCGCAGATACTTTGTTGAATTTATCAATAATGTTTATTTACATAGAAGAAACATCAAAGCAACTTCGACAGAAACATTCCAATCATGGAAGAATGGTATAATTCTAAATAGAGTGCCATCCAAATATCATAGCAATGAAAATAAAGGCAATATATACCTTTTGTTTGGTTAAACTCAACGACATATTTGAGTAGGGATTTAAAAATGAAAATGGGAAAAGGAAAACTTAAAATTAAAACTCTTTTAGCATTTAATAGGGAAAATATAAGTATTGTAAATTAGACTAAATACCAGCTGATCAAAAGTTTAAAACCATTTCTAAGAGTAAGAAACGCCCAACAATACGTCCCAGTAATGGATTTTACGGCTGTCATTATCAGAAATTCGAAATTTGTTTGGAAATTAACAGACAATATCTTTGTTTCCACCTGTGCTTAAAATGCGATGCAGATCACCCAGGACGACTGCATACATATGGCCTTATGTTATACTAAACCAAGTCTTCTTATTAAAACTCCTCGTGATATTCGAGTTTTTGCTTTACACATAAAATGTTTTCCCTGCAATTAAGCTCAACCATTTTCATAATTTCATATTATCTTAGAATTTGTTCATGATATTTTTTTATTTTCTTTTGTCTTTATACAGTTTGTAATTAATTAATGTCAGAATATTTGAAATTTCCAAACGACACCAAAGCATAATAATCTTAAAGGGATCTAGTTTGTTTTTCACGAAGTCTTCATTACGGTCCATATGGCCCGTAGTACCGATTCAGTGGAAGAGACGGACAAATGCCAAACACAATACATTTTTTACAATCTTTCTCAACCAATGTTGTTCACCAAAAACCTCTCAAGTCTGAGGGTTAGATAGTAAATGGCACAAAACATTGGGATACGTGGGAAAGAAGACTGTTAAGTTCCAGGCTTGTAGTGATCGGAGCCGCTGCAGGTTGGGAACCGGTTCCACAGAGCAGGGGTTCGTGGCAAGAAACTTTTCGAATGGGACATAGGTCTCAGCAGTGGAATATCAAGGGAATATGAGTCGTTCATTACAATTTGCGTGACATGACGGGTTTTAGACGTGAAAGATAGAAATGTTGGAACTAAGGAATATATTTCGTTTCCATGGACTGATTATCAAGACATTTCATCTAGGAGAAAAGGGCTTTAGAACGGAAAATAATTCGCTACACACTAAAACGTGGAGAAGTCTTTGGACTCTATCGAGACAGGAAAGCGAAGACTGAGAAGCGACTGCCCATATACGGCATGAGTACTCTATTTTCGACCTTATCTGGCACGTGTAAAGGGAGAGGTTAACAAGACATAGTTACAGGAGCGATGTGTTGGACCGACAGTTTTTAAACATCTTTAACATCATATCGTAAGTACGAGTTCCATTTGAGGTCTGGGTTATGTTTAAGTCCCAATAATTGATCAAGGCACGAGACATTTCTAAAGGAGCATTCTTTAAGCGTGGTTGGTGAAAGTTTTGTGTCATACCAGCGATGATGTTATGCCAATAGTTTGGACGAGATCGAATTACTTGATTGAATTTAACATGGCGAGGAGAATGAGTTACTGCTTGACAAAGCCTACATACTACAAACCGTGTTTAGAATATTATATATATATATATATATATATATATATATATATATATATATATATACACACACACACACACATATATATATATATATATATATATATATATATATATATATATATATATATATATCTCTCTTTCTAATATATATATATAAATAAGGAAATAAATAGGACACCTAAAGTAAAATGGAAAATTATAAACAAGACTAGAACTTGTAAAACTTGGGATGACCCATGCCCTTTGTGCCTCCATGAGAAACTGCACATTATTAAGTTTCTAAATAATAAAAAATCTATTAAACAATAGACATGAGTTAACGGTTTTTTGCCGACATCATCATATTTTTGCATTTTTGCATTGAATGATTAGCATAAAATAATTTTTATAATTCATAATTTAAATACCCTACAAAAAAAGATAACCATTTATGAAGTCGTCAAAAAACAAATGTTATGGCAGTTTTTTCATATACACAAAACCCTTACAGAAAGAAATAAAATAAAAAAATAAATCTCCATAGACACGTAAACCAGACTAGGCGAAAAAATCTTCCGTTTTAAATTTAGACCCCCTCCCCAACTTACCCTGACTTGACATCTACGAATGTAACTCGATACTGGTACAAATTATTAACACTTAACACCCCTTCCTATTTAAACAATCGCTCTGGCTGTTACCATGGAAATTTTGATTTCAATAATGAATATGCTATTAAAACACGTAAATTTCAGATAAGTTTTTCCCCAAAAAATTCGCTTGAAGATGGAACAGAGCTTACTTCAAATAATTATATTGAAGTTGTCGGCTCTTGTTTTTGAAACATGAGACCTCTTATATAGCGTGTTGGAATCATATTTTTAAATAAATAATATATATATATATATATATATATATATATATATATATATATATAATTATTTATTTAAAAATCAAAACATAAATATGTTATAAAATAACTACAAAAATAGCCATTTTGTTTCAACACCTCTGGTGTCTTATCAAGTGATGATGTTGACATTCAACATCATTTTATAACATATTTATAACATATTTATGTTATAATTTTTAAATAAATAATTATATTCGCTCTACCCTGCATTGACCACTCTTTTAAGAATAGGAATTTTTGGTTACTGGAATTTATTCCGTACACACCAATTATATACTTGTATGTATATATATATATATATATATATATATATATATATATATATATATATATATATAGGACATAAATGTGGAATACGAAGAAAGAAAATTTCAATTTATAAACGATTAGATTAGCCTTTTTCAGTGTCGCGCCAATTTTAAAACGTATAGCCAAATTAAAAAAAATGTCTTTCTATATATAATATAATGTTCTAATTGATATGATGGATACGGAATTTATTTTTAGCTTATGAATACGAATAATATATTTTATAAATTCTAGATTTCACCGGTGTCCATCGAAATAACAGAGAAAAGATTAATCTGTCACCATCAAAATTGAAAAGCCGAGGGAATTGTGAAAACAGCGAGGGTGTTCTTTTAATTATCATATTTAGTCATTAATTTTTTATGAACTTAAAGGAATGTCTACTGTTTACACTGTAACTTTAAAAAAAAATAGTTTTGTATTTAGCTTTAGTTTGTTTATCTGTGTTCATATTTTTTTTAATCTGCTGTAATTGTTTTTTCTTTCCTCTACTGAATGCTTTAGAAAAATCTAAAATAATTCCCAAGAGACGGAGAAAATATATTTCCTAAACTCAAACAGAGTTAAAGAATGTGAAACCGAATTAAGATGCACATTACCAGCAGCAAAGAATGCAGAAATAACAATTATTTTAGGAGAAAGCAATTAAACATCTGTAAAAATATATCAAAGAACTTTAATTCAGGTGATTTCAAATATTTCACCTTACTGAAGAACTAATTGAATTCATTTACATACTTATATTTACCGCAGTGGAGCACAATAATAAATATCAAACTAGGTTTCTTTATTTAATATATTTTCCTTCAGTATCTGTCTATAATTCTGAGATGAGGTATTATGTAGTCTATATACATTATTCGGACTATCATCCTCATCTTTGTCGCCATATTTATTACAACGTTTCGGCCATTTTACGCTCTGGCCTTCGTCAGGTGGTTGTTGTTGCAGTTTTTCGTGTATATATATCTACTAGTGACCCAACCCAAATGACTTGACTCACTTTATAGTCCACCAATAGAAGGTTAACCAATCAGAAGACGTAGAACATTCAATTCGTCGTGTATAAAGGCGGCCATTTTGTTTACTCTCTCCGAATGTCGAGTTCCAACTTGTCAGGCGAAAGAAGAGAAGGAAGAATTACTGAACTACGCTCTGCTATTTTACCGGGATATCCACTATTAACCTGAACAACGCTTCCCTACTGTCTTCGAAATATTTCACTGCTAACCTCTG